AAATATTTCACCTGCAACCTTAGAGAAATAGAGCAGATCAGAATGCTTCTCATTGGAAAGTGCGCACATGAGCAAGCACCTTTCTAGGAAACTCTACTGAATGTTCATGAGGAAGATGGGGCAAGATCGAGCAAAAGGCACTGCATTTGGCAATGCGGGCTGCAGGGGGTAATCGGCTGTCGGGGACAGAGGCGGGGACAGACATGGAAATCTTGCATGTTTCCCTAGACCGTTGATCATGAAAGCCAAGGCCTTTGGCTTCCGGGCCATGGGGCAGAAAACGGTCCTCTATATCTGACTGAAGGCAAAGACGCTTTGTTTCTCAGGGATGTGTGCAGGCCAAAAACTTATTCCTCTGGAGGAGAGAGGGAATCCTCTCGTGCCCCATATCCTGAATTACAATAAAGGAGAAATCTACTACTCTTTCTCTCCATACCCCTTCCTGGTACAGGTGCCATCGGAAAGAGGTTTAAGAATACGGAGAAATCACTCCCTTCAAAGCCTAGGGCTGCAGAGCCTGAGAGCATTGGGAGTTCATGTACCGCTCTATTGACCCAGGGTGATATGGAATAAAGGAAGCCCTGTTAGGCTTCTCCAGGGCGACAGGCTCCAGAGTCCTATTTCTCGGAATCGGCAATGCTGAAGATTGCACTGAATGCTGTCTACTTGAAGAAATCCCTGGAAAAGCTTCCTGGGCACACCCTGGGCACACCCTGGAGGGTTTGTGCCCATCCTAAAGACACAGCCCACCCACGATATACCAGAAATCACTCCGCTGTCTCCCCTAGAGAGTGCACGGAGGCTTCCTCCAACATGGCAGAACTCGGTCAACACTCCAGCATCCGTGGACCATTGAAAGCTGCTGCACCAGTCGGAATTTCCATGGCTTTTCATCCCAGCTTCTAAGCGTGTAGATGTCTGGCCACAGGCTCCTTACCTTGTTCGGAAGGAGCCTCTAGGCTTGGAACCGGGGTAACAGTCAGAGGTGTGACGGCAGTCCCTTCTGCGTCTGAGCATTGTGTCAGGTTGCAGTACTCCCACCTGACATTGGGATCCATCGTATAACAATAAGGGGCTGCCACAGGATCCGGATTCCTGCAGTAGTTCCTGATCAAGCCACTGGAAATTCCAAAACGATACATGTCACAAGAGGTGGGACAATATGTAGGGGCACCCGACATCCTCTCCTTTGTGCGGGAACAAGGTCATTACCGGTGCCTTTCTAACATACCCATTAAAAGTACCATATGATTCCTGCAAGCACAAATGGCTCTCAATCCCTAATCCTCTCTGCACATTTCTCATACTTAATAGATTATTACGATTCTTTTAAATCTAAACTAGCAAACGCTTCTTAGAGACACTGAGATAATGCATACACGTGGCCAAAAAGTGATCAGACTATTCTCCTTCTGTCTTCTGCCCAATCCATCTCTCTGGAATAACTGGTATGGATTTTGATGTTTGTATTGTGCCATTGTTTATTCACATACAAAAATATGTGTATCTGTCTAGTTCTCAGTATCTCTCTTGGTAGGACTTCACATTCTAATGTGGGAATTGCAGCCAACACGTAGTTCTTCAGAGAAAACATGGCATCCAGAAGGACAGCCTTTCCAGGTCAACCTTCACACACTATGTACCCAAAACGTACTGAAAAGGCTCTCCGTTTCACAGGGAAATGCATTGTGTAAATACTATTACTGTCTGTCATTCCCATATCAAGTGGGTCAAGTAGGTTTATTTTTGCACGACTTCTCAAAGCTGCCCTGGAAAATTTGCTCCCAGGCAGGATGCAGTATCTCTAGAATGGGTTCCTGGGCAGGACCTTCTCTCTTGCTCTCAATCTATCCTCTGCTGGCTGCAGCCACTTCAGGACTGAGGGAAAGGGGATGAGTTGAAAGAACAGTGGGACCCAATGGCATAAAGGAAGAAGGCAGGGTGGACTGACAGATCTGAAGAGGTCGGACAGCTACGGAGGAGCAGAAAACAATGAAGAAGGGGGCAAAGCAGGGGAGGACTTTGGGCTGTTGGGATCTTGAAGCATTTGCTCTTCCCTATGCCTCCCAAGAACGTTGCTCCAACCTCTCAGTATCCTCAAATTCACGATCTGTGACTGCCTGAGAAAATGGGAAATGTATTCTGGGCCATGGGGATCCAACACTCTCTCTCTAGAGACTCTACAATTGTGACCTAGTCTTAACCCCAGACTCTCCATTCCAGGAAGTTGGTTCAATCAGCAATTGGATGTATAAGAGCCCGAGCTCTTGAAAGACTTCCTCTCCTTTCTAGGCTTCCCTCTTTGGAATGCATGGAATATTCTTATTATACCATAAACCTCAGAGTTCAAAACTGTGTGATTGGTCTAGGATTCGCAATATCCCTTTGAACCCACACTGTAACCTTTTATTAATATTACATACCATCATGCATGGAGTAAGAAACTTACAATGGTCCACTTCCAATTATTACCTGCATGATTTATGCTACATGTTCAAATTGTTATCTCTACATATGCTAAACTTAAACATAGTGCTATCATTCTGCTTAGTCAACTCTCATTGAAAAAGATATAGAAATTTGATCAAGAAAATATTTTGCATTTACACCTTTCTGCATTTGCCAGTTGCTGGTATCTACATTACATGGGCTGCAGAAAGTTCCCTTCTTCTTCTATTCTTCTTCTATCTAATACCTTTGGGTCACCACTCTTGTTACATAAGCCTGCTGATTCCAAAGTCTGGCAGTTTCCGCTTTCTTTGTTTGGGGCAGTGCACAATATGCATTTATCCAACACAGATCATCTTCAAGGCATTTTATTGCTGGATTCAGCATTCTCGGTTGATCTCTTCTGGTTCCAGATTATCATTTTAATAATATTCCCTGGTATGCGGCTCCCAGTGTTTCTGAGGTGAAGGCATTA